AAAAACTGAACAGACATCTTATAACTATTATCCTTGAAAAACTGAACAGAGATCTTACAACTATGATCCTTGAAAAACTGAACAGTGATCTTACAACTAAGATCCTTGAAAAACTGAACAGTGATCTTACAAACTTAATAGAGATTTACAACCATACCCCCTGAAAAATTGAACAGAGATCCTGCAACCATGATCCTTGAAGAATAGAACAGATGCAGTAACAAGTGTACTCTGACACACGACCAACTCGACATGTTTATTTCAGTTTGAAATTATGCTCTTCAGATTATTATGATTCTATAGATGTATACAAGTAAACCTTACATCACATACAAAAGGTACTTTTCATCATTTTACTTGAACTCATTTAGCCCCAGAAGATTCTGGGAGCACACACCCAAGGTGAAAAATAACCAGATCGGGAAAAAAATCATAAGTATATGGTTTTCAAAGAGGCTAAATTCACAGCTGCCACTATCGTTTCCAGATTTCTATAGTATGCCCTGATCAAATGTAAATAGTAAGCGAACACGTCCCTAGCACTGCTATCTGAAGGTCTGATATTCCTATGACTCAAAAAATAACATCCTGACACCAATCTTAACAGCCAATCCAAAAACGGCAAAACCAAGATGGCTGGATCTCATCTTTACTGCCTGTATGTACCAATTTTATGGCAGTGCTGGAAAAAAAAAAGGAAGAAAAACAGGGCATCAGCCTAGAGATTTAGTGTCACATAGTTAGTCCAATCGCCATGACCTGTACAGGTTAGGATTTCTATTCCCCCCCCTTTCCTAAAAAGTACACAAGTGAAAGTATAAACAATAATAACATAAAAGTGATGCTAAACTTTGGGGAAGCTACAGAAATGTTTCACACCAAGCTAAGCAGTTCATGTACAAATGTCCCCTGTGTGGGTTCCGGGGCCCTATTGTGGGGAAAACAAGAATAGACCCACTGCCTCCCCAAAAGCATGTTGTAAGAGTCAACTAATTGGGGAGCTTCCTTTGAAGACGGAGTGCGTCTGCTGGAGAGGCAAGGAACCAACAGTCTGTATTCAAGAGAATGAGATCTGTAAAACTGATGCACACGCAACATTCAGGTTCTGGAGCAGGACTGCAGTTCAGTAGTAGACGAGCAACCAGAACCTTCCGCCAGAGTTTACAGCTGGTGAACGCGAAGAAGAAGAAGATGTACAAATGTGTGACAGGAAGGGACAGCGGGTAAAGCAAATGCAGGGACCATTCTAATCATGCACCTAATTATAATATAACCAGCAACCCGTATCAATCATAGACAACAGAATACTGTAAAATAATAACTATACAATATTCTATTTGTACAATATTTCTAAACTAACATACAATGTAAATTATAATATACAGATATTTATTTCAATATTGTATGTTGAAACAATGAATTCTTAAATGTTTCACTGACAAGCAATGTCTGATGCATTAGTGAATCTACCTCTTGATATCCCTCCCTAGCATAATTTGCTCTTCAATATTTTTTACATTTTGATCAGAACACACTAAAGAAATCTTGCTTTCCTAAAAGGTCACTTAGTTAGTTAGTTAGTCTTTCCTCTTGTGTCGAGTGCGGCACATAGGGCAGAGGTCATGACTCTCCATGCATGGCGGTTCGTTGCAATCTGTTGTAGGTCTTGGATGTTTGAGTGGCCCATGAGTGAGCCTTCCCTGATGATAGTTCTTCGTAGGGTTTCCCTTGGTCTTCCACGAGATCTTTTCCCCTGTGGTGTCCAAATGAGGGCTTGGTAAGGAAGTCTTGATTTATCCATTCTAAGGGCGTGGCCGACATAGTTCCAGCGGCAGTTAGAGCCAGAAATCTGATTCTACAACAATTGGTGGTTTGCGATGACAGCTTGTCGGACCGTCGATCAACCGATATGTGCCGAGCTAGAGAGAAACACGTCCCGCCATCTTGACACAAACCGGAAAAGGTCACTACCGCTTGTAAATTGCCACTCTGATAGTAATGCATTCTTGATTTTTCATAATGATTATGTCTTCATTATGGAATCTCCTTCGAAACCTTCTGGAACCGAAGAGTTAAAATTGAACATAAAATTATTGGACACTTTCCACAATTGGAGATGCAGTAGCACAGTTGCTGGTTCCCTCACTTGCCAACGTGGGAGTCCAGTGTTTGCCTTGAGGCAAGAGGGTTCTTTTCATTTTCTTTTTAAACTTTGTAAAATGACCAGGCGTCTTTACTGATATTTACTTTGGTACTATTAGCCATCGGACGTTGGGGTTCATATTGAGGGGAGAATCTGAGCACCCATAGACATGTCCGGAGTGCAATGATGATAACCCAACTAACTAATTTACTTTATTATTAATAATAATATAACCATAGAGGTTTTATTAACTTTAAGAAAAAAGGTCTCTAAAACTTTGTTAAAATACTACTCAGTCCCTAGACTTGCTTTATTTACTTTGTAAAATCAGCAAGGGTCTTTACTGCTATTTACTTAGTTTAAACAAATTAATTTTAAAAATTCAAAAAACTAAAAAAAACTATAGAGGTTGTTTTATTTACTTTAGGGAGGAAAAAGCCTCTAACTTTTTTTTATTACTTTGTTAAAAAACTTACATGCTGTCTAAAAAAAAAAGGGAGGAGTATTTTTTCTTGTTTTGCAAAATAAACAGAATCTTTCACTTGTTACTCAGTTGTAAAATACATCTATCTAAGTTTAAAGTAAGATTCTCTTGTGTCTGCATACATATTATACAACTGTCACTCTGTGTGTGTATACATATCATACAACTGTCACTCTATTTTTGTGTGTCTGTATACATATTATACAACTGTCACTCGATTCTTTTGCATCTGTATACTTTTTATACAATTGTCACTCATCACAAGATTAAAACTACTCGTTTAATTACTCATATAATAAAAGTCTGCAGTTATATGTGGTTGTTACACATGACAGCATTTATCATAACACATAATTTTGAAGAACAGAAAAGCACACATATGTTGAAATATTAAAAAAAAAATTTAAAAAAAATAAAAAAAAATAAAAATATATATATATATATATATATATATATATATATATATATATATATATATATATATATATATATATATATATATATATATATATATATATATATATATATATATATATGTGATATATACATGAACATTTAGTATACATACTATACATATTTTTTGTTGCTTCTATATATTGCACAGAACTTGGGGAAACAGTACTGCACCACACTGATGCTTAAAAGCAATACATTATGTTGGTTGCCATTTTTTGTGTCAGTTAAAAGAATAATATCTCTACCCTTTATGGACGTAATGTGAGACTGTTGTGCATAACAATCTTTGTTGCGTATAACAGTTGTTGCCATTTGCTTTTGTAAAGCGTAACAAGGTGGAAACGTAGAAAACAGTGCAACAGAAGCCACTTACAACAGAACATCATACACAAGACAACACAAACTACTATGCTTTATCTGATGAATATACCTAGATTTCTTCCACATACATACTGCCAGTGGCATATACTAATATTTGAATAATGCGATATTGTGCAAAGGAGAGGTCACGCAACCTAAGGAGGCATGAATGGCAAGGGAAGTTACTCTAATCCTGGGCCTGAAAACCTGAACAGCACCATGCAAAGTACTATTTGTGTCAGCATCATTTAAATTTACAATGGGAAAACACTGTGCTGAACATACTTCATGCCTCACGTCACAAATAATACATTCCCGCCATGTTCATGCTGAAAGTGACACAAACCTCTATTGCAGTTTAAAATATTACAATTACTCATAAAAACTGAGACACACATATGTGCAAAGCATGAACTGGAATGACTGATAGCATGTTTAAATGGTGTACACAGCATCAGAAGGGTTTCATTAAAAAAAAAGGATATAATTTCAGTATTGAAACATGAACTTGAAGAACAACTTTCATAAACTGCCAGCAAACAAATGGGCAGATGTGTAGCAGATGTAAAAATATGAGGAGACTTCAAAAGAAATCCTTATAAGGGTGACATAAAATTATAATGACCATGCTATTGTCTTGTATCCTGTCAATGTTGGTGATTAAGGATGTCAAGAATGTTCAGCAACTGACAACATGGTGCAGATAAGGACTGTGATATATTAATGAAAATATCAAGATGGCTGCCCCACTTTATGAAAGAAAAAAATTAGTACAATAAACATTACCTGATTTATTCTGCAGGCCTAACCTATGCAAACTATGTAATTTTGCATAGGAATCTTACAATGACATCTACTTTCTACTGATTTACTTACTGTTAACTCAAGTATACAAAGAAGAAGAGTCTGCAAGAAGAAAAGGGAGGAGAAAGAAGAAGAAAAGGAAGAGAAAGAAGTCAGTCCCATTGGACAATGAAGATAACTGTCATTTGATGGCAACTACTTCATTTAGTTTTATCATTCAGTTTAGTGACTACATTTATAGGTTTCTGTTACAGCTTCAGTCGCATTAGACTTCACTCCCAGAAAATATCATAGCTAAATGAAGTAATTCCAAGAAAAGATTTTATTTAAACCTATAGCTACTTAATAATTTTCCCAGCGTTGTTTCTTTTTCTCTATCTTAATTAATCATTGAAATAAGCAGTGGCTACGACATGCCAACAGTTGTACATGCAATCGTGTAAGGCACCATCAGTTCAGTGGCAACAGGCCACTTACCATTTTCTGAACTGCAACATAAACCACCCTCAGCACAGTCAAAACAACTTTCCAAAATGAAAATCCACAGCTTAGTATTATGCCACAAACAACTCTGTAGCTGGCGATGGAACTAAATATTTTAAGTCCATATATGGGGAGGAAAATGCACAAATTACTTGCTGCCAAGACTAAAACAGTTGACCTGCCTATCCAGCACAGGGGGCAAACAATTATTATAAAATAATTATAACTGCCTTTCAATCAGTATTCTAGGATACTGAAAGGTAATTTTCTTTAGGGACATTCACTGCTAGGGGTGTTTGTAAGATCATCCTGCACAGACTGGACACTAGTCTGCTGACTGGACAAAAAAGGTCTCGACAGACCTTTCATCAGAAAGTCATACATACTCTCCCATTTCCCAGAAACACTACCTGATTCTTCCAAACACCTGGCTTCCATGTCTGCTATGTAGTGTTCCTTTCCATTGTGATCAGAGATACTTCCAGCCACAGTGTTATTACCTACTGCATACTGAATGCTCTTGGAGTGTTCCTTTCCATTATGATCAGAGATACTTCCAGCCACAGTGTTATTACCTACTGCATACTGAATGCTTTTTGAAGTGGTTTGGATCCTGCCTTCCTCATCCATGGCATGTTCCATGCAGTTCAGGTTTTCATCTTCCATGATCGATTTAACACAATGACCATTGATGGGGGAGCAACGTATATGGTCTTCATATAGAAGATTCTGTGACTGCAGATCACCTGAAAAAGTCCTTCCCTTTTTAAAACCACGAACTTTGCAAGATTCTTGTCTTCTTTTATTGTGTGTCAATGAGGTATTACAACCTAGTTCTGACTTCATATATTCAGGCTCTGTCATTCCAGATTCAGATGCATTTATTGATTCAGAAGGGTGTGCATAGGACAGAACCATCCCATCCTGAGCAGATTTATCAGTAGAAAATGAACTGTCTACACTTTTCCTTGCAGACGTTGAGAAATCATTGGGGCATTTCTTGGCTATGGACACTGATGTTGTTTCTCCTAAAGGGGAGATCATCTTAGATGATCTGTCTGAAAACTGAGAGAGGTCCAAATCACTCATGAGATTTGAGTGGTCTAGATTGACTACCATAGTTGTTACTGTACTGTTAACTTGGTTGACATGATCTTTCCTTGTGTTAGACTTTAAAGGTGGAGATGTGCCTGGGTATACAGTACTTTCATTATTATAATTTGTTTGGCCATGCTGTGGAACACACTCAGATGTGCTCATCTTCACATCGGTCTCATCCTCAGTTTTAATTTTAGGGCTCAAGCAGGTTTCCTCTGTTTTTACAGCATCCTGCAGAGCCAATTCTACCCATCTGTTGTAGGGACCAGTCACATTAACATCATCATGAACCCACCTGGTCAGCACACTATTTGTGGTAGCGGTACTTTCCCGAGCTCTGTTAGGACTCCATGGGGTGGACACTTGATGAAACACACCACCACATTTGTCATAGTTATCCACCAACAGCTGCAAGTCTTGTTTGCTTATATCTGAATCTACAACTTTCTGGTATTTTCTTTTGTCTGACAATGAGGAATACATCTTAACGGGCATGCCACTCATTAGCCTAGGTAGTCTGGAAGGATCTGGAAAAGCTTCTTTCATATAACTGGGGAATGCTATAGACATACACGCAAACATAACAGGGGTAATGTGCTCCGAATGTGAGCAGTCCAGATACCGAGGGAAACGAAGAGGAAACAGAGTTTTTTTTGCTTCTGGAAAGTTGAATACTTTGCCAAATGTTCCTTTTGTAAGGCTTGGGAAGGCAGCCAGTTCACTAAGCTCACCTTTGAAGAAGCCTTTAGACTCCATCTCCTCAATCAACCTGGTCTGTTCTGCCTGGCTCCTCCTCTCTTCAGCTTTTCTCTCATACTCATCAAATCCATGTCTGGTCAAATTCAAGTTCTTATGCTGATAGAACACCAGACTTATGCGCTTTGGCCGGTACCTGTTGGGTTCTTTGAGGGCTGTTGTGGCATGCAGCTCTCTCTTAGCAACTTCAAAAAGCACAGCACCATGGCATAAAGCAATAGCCACACCTCCCATTGCTGGATCATCAAAGACTTCTCGGTTATCATCAGTTTCCACACTGACCACAGTTGAATCTATAACTTCATAAGGGGGCTCACTTGGACTCTGGCTGACTTTAGGAACAACAAACCCTTCCGATTTGTGCACTTTCATCTTCTCTCCAATAATTGGCCCATTTGGACATACACTGCCAACAGGTCTGTTAATATAAGAGTTCCCACTGTTGATCTCATCGCTTGAGTCAACATTTGTACACTGTGTGACAATGTTGGGAGAGGTTTCTAAGTGATTAATATGTAGTGGTTTTGAACTGCATGTTGCCAAAGGTATGCCATCATTATCATGGAAAGAACTGTTAACAGACCCCAAAGATTTCCCATTCTCTTTCTCTTGGCCTTGGAACCAAGGCAAATTACTGTATGGTTTAAAGAGTCCACCTGGAGTGACCTGTGTTGAATTTGGTTCTTGTTTTGTGTTTGACACTCCATGTTTGGTCTTTTGCAACTCAGTATTATGAATATCATCACATCTATTTCTGACTTCTGAACTAAGACACTTAGAGCTTTTAAACCTGTTGTACACTGTACATGTTCCCAGGCTAGGCTGAATATCTAAGCTCTGTCTTGCTGTTAAACTGAAGGGATGTTCTTTTCCCCATCCACTAGCAATGTCAGGTTCACTGAAACATGAAGAAGGTCGTGCAGCGTCTGTTAAATTAGATGGTTCACTCATTCTTGACCAACAGTCTCGCCTGACTTTCACTTGCTTATCGTCTGACATATAAAGGGGCGGGTCCAACAAGACCGATTCCACAATTCTTGATGTACTGCTCACACCGGTCAACAAATCAGACCCATTATGATCAAAGGTTAATTCTTCCACAACAGAATCAGCCCTTGGGGAGAATGCCTGATAGGAAGATTCTGATGTAGCTAACTGAGATGAATGTGAAATGTCTGAGTGAGTTGATGATGACATTTGTGCTCCATGCTGAGACACCGGCACATTATATGACTGGCTTCTTCCAAGCAGCTGGACTGATGGAAGTTTGGATGTGTGGCTTTCAGAAAAGGACCTGGATAATGACACATTCGAAATATGTGTCTTTACTGTATGAACAGCATCTGGTTCATCCGTCTGTGGGGCACACAACAGTTTACTTAATGGATTAGCTAACTCTAATCTACCTGGGGACTGCAGCACAGCTGGATACGACATGGACTGCATAAATATATTTCTTGAAACAGACCTGTCTAATGGAGGTTCTTCACATGAATGAGAAGAAGATATGGTAGGCAACTGTGCAGACTGTGGCCTTTCAATATGTACATTTTGATCTTCTAAATGTGCTGAGATTGGTGTATGATGTGACAGGACAGAAGCCGGTCTTGATCCTAAAGAAACCCGCATGGACCTTTCCAGTGATAATCTCTGTGCTTCAAACGGCAGTGCAGGCCTTTCAGGGTCTGGGTGTGACACTTCAGCATTGTCAGAAAATAAATCTTTGAGTGCCTGATTTAAACTACGTGAATATTCTCCTCCCATGAAATCAGGTGAAGCACACACAGATTCAGTTATCTGTCCCTGAGCGTTGTGACAATTGTCAAGTTTCCTTTTGACATTTTGATCTACTCTCTCACCACATGACAGTGGGTGTCCCTGAGGTTTGAATATATTTTGAGCACTGCCATGCACACTATACTGATTTGAAACAGAGTCTGGGTAGGGAGGTGGGGGCCTTAAATGATGACCAACAGCATCCCCTTGTGCAGCACCTGATGCATCTCCTGAACTTGAAATACCGGTGGTGGGGTTTTGTGAACTAACATTTAAACTGATATTATTGCTTATTTTAGAACTAAAAAATGAGGGTTGCATATTTTCACTGTTGTCAAATAAATTATGTTTGGGTGGGTCAGAAAGAGTACGAGGATGACTTGACAGTGGTAGGTGTTGTGAAGAATAGTACTGCTGATGGTGTGAAGAAGTTGGTATAGAAGATGGTAAGGATGCTGAACTACAATACTGACTTTTATGTGAGAATGATTCTTGGCAAAGCCTACCTGAAGATGAAGGCGTTGGTGAGATCTGTGCTGCTTCAAGAACAGAGGCTTTACACCGGTAGTCATGAGAATAAAACTGCTGCCTTGGAGAAGTCACAGGATGCGGTAAACAAGGAGAGGGAGATGGTGACTGAAAGCCCTGTTTGCCAGGAAAACAAGTTAGCAAATTGTGCTGCCTTTGTTTTTCTTGCTGCTCTGATTGAACATTGATATTATGTTTCTGATGCTTTAGCTGTTCTTGATGCTGCCACATTTGCTGCTTCTGCTGCTGCAAAGACATTTCATCCATGGCAGATGACTGTTTTAAAGAGTTTGATTTGAAATTTGACTTCCCTGCCTCAGTCAAGACTGAACATCTTGTCTTGGTTGTCCACTCCAGTGGTGGGAACTCTCCGTGTGTGTAGAAATAGTCCCAGAATTGAGTGTAGAGATCAGCAAACCCTGGCAGCCCTTGCTGGGACATGAGATCCGTGTAGGTCATGCTCTTGGCATTTCTTTCTTCAAGACCCACACCTGGAACCATGTCCAACTGATGGCTACTGCCACCAACAGAATTAAACTTATTCAACGATGAACTCTGAGTCAATAAACCGTCACTATTACAAAAATTACTTTCATTCCTAGCGAAAGTACTGTCACTAAAATGTCCAGTTGGCAATGGAGCAACTCTAGACAGTTTAGAATTCTTGGGGCTGTTTTTCATACCGTGTTTCTTGGGAGTTGTGCGATTTCTTTTACAAGGTCTGTATGGTGTGGACCTTCTTCGCACCTGGCTCACATAATGGGACAGTATTTCAAGCGCCCCACTGCGTACTTTGGCATTCTGACCTTCCATAGAGCCGAGTTCATCTGTGTGGTCAAGGATGTACAGTGGCAACACGTGATATTGCTCATCGTCAGGTTTCTCAAAGCCACGATGGTTGGTCAGGTTGACTACCTGTTAGAGACAGAAACACAATCTTCACTGAAACCCTAATTTTAAACACTTGAAAGCAAGAACTGTAGTAGCTTACACAACTGAACCTAATACTCTCTGCTTAATTATAAACACTCACTGACTCCCACTGCAAGGAGAGTCTGCTTCCTACTACACTGAGTTCATTCCTATTTTATGGGGTTTTTTCATGATTACTTCCACACAGTCATGGTCACTTCTTCACACTAGGATGACTAATGCCAAAGATACATGGTGAAATGAATTGCGGAGAAAATCGCACAATTAATGAGTTCAATGAGACAGATAATGAAAATATTAAGAGGAGCTTTACTGAGAAAAATTTGTTGCAAAACTAAAGCAGATATTTTAGATAAACAGTGTGGTGTTATGGAAGATAATGATGCAAAAATGTGCATTCACCCAAAGACATAAATATGTTGTACCATTCACAACTTGGTTGTAATATTTGCACTTTTGGCCAACACATCTGACTTCTGCAGGTATATGTTGCCTGGGTCAGACTTCCCCGTTAATGATGCAAACAAGACCATATTATCTTAGGAACACAAAGAGAAAGATAAATTAAATGTGCTTGTGCTTTGCTGATTACAATTCATAAAGTAAAACATGAAGAACATAAAGAAATTATAAAGAAAGTAACCCTATATAATAACCTGATGATACCAATGCAAATAAAATACCCTATTGACATCAACGTGCGTATATTAAAACAAAACAGCAATCACTAAGAGGTGGATTCAGAGAGTTTGTCCTCAAATGGAAATACCGCAGGTCTCTGTATTGCAAAAGTTGGAGCATAGTTTCAGAGGTATGACTACATTTACACAAATTAGCATATAGGGGTTTCCTCGTCAACAACTGGCTTTTATTTATAGAAATTATGATACTTCAATTTTTCCATTATCCAAGTTAAAAATGTCCAAGTATGAGTCATGGTATGAATTATTTAATAAAAAAGTTGAAACCCAGTAAATTCTCTACTGTGTTCATGTTAATTGATCACTGCACTCTGTTCATGAGTGAAAAAATGTTGTTTTAATGTTTTAATAAAGCTGACAACATCAGTCACTGAGTGCTGACTGGTCTATACAAATATGAGTCTACAATCCTATGTCTGATGCAGCACTGGTGCAAAAAAGGATCCTTTACTTCACGTTTTACTTATTCTGAAAGCATCTATTGTGTCACAGTTTGTCTCAGCTACTGCTGCCTCCAAACCTCAATGCTATATTCAAGGACTCTTCCAGGAGAAAGCTTTTTCAGAACTTAGTGTTTAATAGACAGAAAATATTTTAACAAAGAGATCAAAAAGAGCTCTTTTACAGACACAAAAAAAAAAAAAAAAGTGCTGTTTTATTGACAGCAGCAATTAACAATGAGCATAAATAGTGCTGAACAGAACTGCTCACCACAGTACTTCCATTGTTCATGTTGTGACAATCTCTGTGGCTATGACAGCAGAAATCCACAACTGCAGTCACTCCAGAAAATGGTCGTCCAGGCTGACTCCCCAGTCTACAGTCTTCAGCGATGCTTTCAAATTGAACCTAGTGAAAATTTCAGTCAAAAAGATTTTTTAATGGAGACAACTCATTACGATTTCAGTGGAAAAGAAAACATTAATAACGCAGATGATTCAACATGATTTCAGTGAAAGAGGCAGAATTTTAAATCGAATTAGATTTTAGTGAAAAAGGTATGATTTTAAAAGTAGACAACCAAACATGATTTCAGTGAGAAAGGTATGATTTTAAAAGTAGACAACCAAACATGATTTCAGTGAAAAAGGTATAATTTTAAAAGTAGACAACCAAACATGATTTCAGTGAGAAAGGTATAATTTTAAAAGTAGACAACCAAACATGATTTCAGTGAGAAAGGTATAATTTTAAAAGTAGACAACCAAACATGATTTCAGTGAGAAAGGTATGATTTTAAAAGTAGACAACCAAACATGATTTCAGTGTGAAAGGTATAATTTTAAAAGTAGACAACCAAACATGATTTTAGTGAGAAAGGTATAATTTTAAAAGTAGACAACCAAACATGATTTCAGTGTGAAAGGTATAATTTTAAAAGTAGACAACCAAACATGATTTCAGTGAGAAAGGTATAATTTTAAAAGTAGACAACCAAACATGATTTCAGTGTGAAAGGTATAATTTTAAAAGTAGACAACCAAACATGATTTCAGTGTGAAAGGTATAATTTTAAAAGTAGACAACCAAACATGATTTCAGTGAGAAAGGTATAATTTTAAAAGTAGACAACCAAACATGATTTCAGTGTGAAAGGTATAATTTTAAAAGTAGACAACCAAACATGATTTCAGTGAGAAAGGTATAAATCTTTAACAAGGTCTGAGCAATGGTGTGAGCGTTGACTGAGAAGTTCCGTTTTGCCCAAACAACGCTGTCATCGTCGATCGTGTGTCCCATACTTGTTTCTAATGTTCAGAAGTACAATTAAACTATTCAAGGAAAGTCACTTTTCCAAAATCCTTTCAGCTATGCTTACTATCAGAAGCCACACGTGCATAATTTGATCAGATTCACAGAGATTTTTTTTTCAACAGTGCATTTTCCAAGTTCGTTTTTGAATGCCATGAATACCAATGTTCCAACCACAAGTACAGGTAGCAGAATGCGTCTTTTTGCGGCCGAAGTGCTGAAATTGTTTCAGTCAGATGTTTTAAATTCTGATAACGATAATGAAAATTTAGATTTTTCGGATGGTGAATTTTCACCAGCGAAGCTGAGCAATCAGCTGTTCTGAATCTACCGATTCTGATAAATTTATTACACAGACAATGCTCCATTGCTACCCTATTTATGGTGTGAGAGAAGAAAGGTGCTCTAAACAAAGAAATTGTACTATACTAAGACTAAGCTACATTGAAATCATTGCAGCTTCAGTCTGTATATAATTGTAAGAACTAAGAGCCCCAGAGTGCTAAACTAGCCCAGAAACTTATCATAACTTTGGAATTTGTTAGGAAATTGAACAAACTGAAGTTTTGTTCTCAAATTTGGATATTCACTACTACTACTCTTGTGGCTACAAAATCATGGGAAGTGAAGAATTTGTTTGTAAAATGTTGTTGTTGTGAAATTAACACCTGCTGAATGCTTCTTTACAACTAACTATAAACAAATTAAACATACACTTATCATCAGATTCAAAATGTACATTTATTTCTCTTTAAAAAAATGTATACTTTTATTGGGATTAGTAGTATCTTACATTCTCTATTGCCCTTCTTGTACATCCACCCCTCTGCCATTTTTGTAAAGGGAAATTAATGTGGGCCAAGTCTGTCAAAATTCATCAGCCTGAAAGAGTTACAGTAGAACCTCGCTTAACGAGCACCTCCCATAACGAGTAATTCGCATAACGAGCAAAACAAATTGTAAAAGAATGACTTGCTTAACGAGTGACGTTTCACATAACGAGTGGCGAGGATAGGGGTATACTGAATTAATTATTAGGAAGATAATTAGGAAATAGATTTGTAATCTTTTTTTTGGTGTGAAAAGTTTAATAAACCCTTGTAAAAATGTCCCTAAAGAAAAAGCCGCAAAAAAACAGCCATAAGAGAGTAAAAATAACCACAGATATGAAACATCAAATCATTGAAAAGCGAGTACGATGTGTAAGCGTGGCTGATCTAGCATGCACATACAATCGGTTTACATCAGCGATTTGCACTATCCTTAAGAACAAGGACAATTAAGGAGATAGATGCTTCACAGGGAGTGACAAGAATATCTGCGCAACGGTTGAGCATTCTTGACGATGTTGAAAGGTTGCTTCTCATATGGAAAAATGAAAAGTTATTGCAAGGTGACACTATTAACGAGAACATCATTTGTGAGAAGGCAAAAATGATTTTTGCCGACCTCGTTAAGAAGATGACAGGATAATCAACGGCCAAAGAAGAAGTATTTAAGGAAAGCCCTGGGAGGTTTGAGAAGTTCAAGAGGAAAACCGGCATTAACAGCATTGTGAGGCACGGTGAAGCAGCAAGTTCCGAGAACTTCATCAGCGATTTCAAGAAGCTCGTAGATTCTGAAGGTTACTTGCCGCAACAGGTTTTTAAATGTTGTGAAACAGGTCTCTTCTGGAAAAAGATGCTGAAGCGAACGTATATAACAGCAGAGGAGAATGCATTGCCCGGCCACAAGTCAAAGACCATCTCACGTTGCTATTTTGTGCCAATGCAAGCAGCGATTTGAAAATTAAACTGCTGCTTGTTTACCACTCAGGAACTCCCCGAGCCTTCAATAAATGCAAAATCCAGAAGAGCAGACTAAATGCGATGTGGAGGTCCAACAAGAAGGCTTGGGTGACACGTGACCTTTTTACTGAGTGTATCAAGGAAGTGTTTGGTCCTTCTGTGAAAAAATATTTGCTTAAGATGAATCTGCCACTCCATGTCTTGCTTGTTATGGATAACGCTCCTGCCCATCCTCCAAGCCTATCAGATGACCTCCCTGAAGAATTTAAGTTCATCAAGATCCAGTTTCTGCCTCCCCCGACACCACTCCATTTCTCCAGTCCAAGGACCTAATAAGGAAGTGGCTATTAGTGCTGCAAATTTATTTAATGATAATGCTGTGTCGCATTTTCGCCAAATTTGGAAGCGTCAGCAAAAGCAAATGTCTTTGGACATCTTTCTAGTAAAAAATAATTAGGTATGTATCATAATTATTTCTATTTTTTTCTTTGTGCAAATTGAATTCACATTCCAGGTGGGTTCGTTCCACAGTGGAAGAAAAGATGAAGATGATTCACTCTCCTTAACAATATATAGATAATTTTCTTTGAATAAACGTTATACATAACATTTTGTGAGTATTTTTTCGACATGGAACGCATTATTATATTTTCATTATTTTTATTTGAGAACATTTTTTTGCAATTTTAAATGTAGACAACTCAATATGATTTCAGTTAGAAAGGCAGAATTTTAAATGTAGACAATTTAACATTATTTCAGTGGAAAAGGCAGAATTTTAAATGTAGACAACTCAACATGATTTCTGTGGAAAAGGCACAATTTTAAATGTAGACAACTCAACACGATTTCAGTGGAAAAGGCAGAATTTTAAATATAGACAACTCAACACGATTTCAGTGGAAAAGGCAGAATTTTAAATGTAGACAACTCAACACGATTTCAGTGGAAAAGGCAGAATTTTTAATGTAGACAACTCAACACGATTTCAGTGGAAAAGGCAGAATTTTAAATGTAGACAACTCAACACGATTTCAGTGGAAAAGGCAGAATTTTAAATATAGACAACTCAACACGATTTCAGTGGAAAAGGCAGAATTTTAAATGTAGACAACTCAACATGATTTCAGTGGAAAAGGCAGAATTTTAAATGTAGGCAACTCAACACGATTTCAGTGGAAAAGGCAGAATTTTAAAGGAAGACAGCTCAACATGATTTCAGTGGAAAAGGCAGAATGTTAAATGTAGTATGTGGTCTCAAAAACGTGTTCAGGGAGAAAGTTGTCTAATACAGAAGAAAGGAAGAGAAGAGAGAGAGGTGAAATAAACAGAAACATTTTATGAAATGGTCAAAACGTGGCGTGTAGTCTGTCACCAGATTGAACATGCTGTGTGTACTTGAAGAGAAGACAGACTGTTCATGAAATACAGAGTTGAAACTTTATCATTAGCATGAGAGAAAGTTGATTTAATGTGGTGATGTAACTTTATCATGAGCATGAGAGAAAGCTGATTTAATGTGGTGATGTAACTTTATCATGAGCATGAGAGAAAGCTAATTTAATGTGGTGATGTAACTTTATCATTAGCATGAGAGAAAGTTGATTTAATGTGGTGATGTAACTTTATCATGAGCATGAGAGAAAGTTGATTTAAAGTGGTGATAAAACTTTATCATTAGCAAGAGAGAAAGTTGGTTTAATGTGGTGATGTAAATTTATAATGAGCATGAGAGAAAGTTAATTTAATGTGGTGATGTAACTTTATCATTAGCATGAGAGAAAGCTAATTTAATGTGGTGATGTAACTTTATCATGAGCATGAGAGAAAGCTAATTTAATGTGGTGATGTATCTTTATCATGAGCATGAGAGAAAGTTGATTTAATGTGGTGATGTAACTTTATCATGGGCATAAGAGAAAGCTAATTTAATGTGGTGATGTAACTTTATCATTAGCATGAGAGAAAGCTAATTTAATGTGGTGATGTAACTTTATCATGAGAATGAGAGAAAGCTAATTTAATGTGGTGATGTAACTTTATCATGAGCATGAGAGAAAGCTAATTTAATGTGGTGATGTAACTTTATCATGAGCATGAGAGAAAGCTAATTTAATGTGGTGATGTAACTTTATCATGAGCATGAGAGAAAGTTGATGTGGTGATGAAACTTTATCATTAGCAAGAGAGAAAGTTGACCTAATGTGGTGATGTAACTTTATTATGAGCATGAGAGAAAGCTAATTTAATGTGGTGATGTAACTTTATCATGAGCATGAGAGAAAGCTAATTTAATGAGGTGATGTAACTTTATCATGAGCATGAGAGAAAGTTGATTTAATGTGGTGATGTAACTTTATCATGAGCATGAGAGAAAGTTGATTTAATGTGGTGATGTAACTTTATTATGAGCATGATAAAATACTGCAGTTTAGCAATAAATGACAATACAACGTGCTAGAAGAAGAATCCTACTTTACCTAGGCATCTGTTTAAAAGTTTTCCGATGCATGACATAAACTACATTACATCTTCTTCGGCCGTTTCTCCCTAAATGCAACACAAGCCTTCAAACAACCTGTGCCAAGTCTTGCCATTCTTTACCTTCATATACAGCTCACCCCCACATCTTCCATATAGAGCCATACACATTGCATCTGCTGACAATATTACTATGTTGAAGGAGAAAAGTTTTTTCAACAATCTTACCTGATTACGAAATGCATCTGGTGCTAACTGGCTGTACAAAGGGGCAACATCTGAAGCCAGTTTCTGCAACTTATCCTCCAGTTCCTCTTCCTACGATACAGATGTGGTGGATTTGCTTATTTAAACACAGCAGTTTAGAGCAGTACTCAAATGACAATATTACTTAACCTTATCGCCCCAAGAAGACTAAATCGAATCACTCCTGTTCATGAAGCAGCCTTGTAATTGCTGAAATATGACCATTCCTGCAATGGCCTGCTCTCTAAAAGCGGAGTTAAACGCAGATGTTTCTATGTGCACCTGCGTAGTGTTAAACAGGCCCAGATGTGAGTATATTAACTAAATATAACATTTCAAAGGTTTTTGTGTGTGAGCATAATGGTTTTTTAAAATCCATATTGACATACAATTTTCTCGTAAGCCTCAGTGAAAGAGTTTATTCACCGCATAAGTCACCTGATAAATATTTACTTTAGACCCTAGGGCATGTATTCCATTTAACGCTTCACTCTGTTCTTTTTTACTGATTACTCTCTTTGTGATTTACCTCAAAATGTTTTAAAAAAAAAAAAAAAAAAGCAAACAATTTTAAAATGTAGATAAAAAAATTTATAAACAATTCATTGCTACCTGTGTGGCCATGGCCATTGAGTTAACCGTATGTGTCGATTCCTCCCCACCAAATATATGGTTGACACATTCCGTTTCTGGGGACAGCTTTTATCGAGTTTGCTCTCTAGACAGTTGCAGTCCCCTGCTGACGAGATTCTGTCTTCCCGAGTGGGCCGCCGCGATCAAAACATTGCGAAGGCAGCGTGGTCGAGGCTGCCAAAACTATCGGTCATTATCCCGCCCCGACACAGCACAACCACAATACACGCTGTTCCCACGAAAAACACATAATATCCTGCGTTGGAAATGCGCATAAAATAGCAGTCCATGATTATAGAACAGAATAATCCGAGAGAATTGACAGCCAGCGACAATAAACACAGCTGCTGTCCGCCATTTTGAAAACGAAGTCCCGCTACCTGTGTGACACATTTGTGTTTAGCATTCGTGGGGCGAAAGGGTTAGTAATATAACAGGTCAGTTAGCACGGTATCAGTACAACATGAACTCGGTACGCACAGAATATTAAACAGTTTTCCCTTTAAACATATTTTTTTATATAGAAAAAAATAACAGTACAGTATAAGAAACAGAATTTAAAAAACACAGGACCGTTTTTATGGTGTTCCTGCAGCAGGCACATTGGTAATATACCTATGTTTCTATAAACCAAATAGCACTTAACTCTTTGATTCCCAAGGAACTCATAATATGTTTATACCTAGAAGCCCAATTAACACACAATGCGCTGAGTTTACATCTCTTTTAACTACCCCTTGGGCCTGTGATGCTAAGCCCTCTGGGACTCAAAGAGTTAATGGCTGATGTGTTAATCTTTGTCGGCCATCTTTTCTTCCCAGAAAAGTTTCTGGTCCCAATTCAAGCACGATTTCGATCCTAAGATCTTTCAGTTTGATAAACGAGCATCTCAACGCTGTGTTACTGTGGCTCTCAGATAATAAAATATTGCAATATAAACTCTTTCAATCCTAGACAGTTGTTTCTGCCCCATATAGAAGGTTGTTTACGTTAAAGCAGCACTTCGAGTTTCAAGGAGTTCAAATAATACAGCTACAGGGCTAAACAAGTTAATTAAAGTAATAGTTAGGAAGAATGGCATTTGAGAAGAAGGGGAAAGAATATGTTAAGAGATATACCAACACATACAGTAATCATTACACGTAAGCTGTGTCCTGCAACAGCCCAAGAAGGACCAAGAGCCAGATGGCAAGATGACATCCAACTCGATAACATGGTGACATATCTATGGGCTAGGTTGCTAGAAGATTTCACCCAAAAATGTTTCACCACAAAAGAAGACTGACAAATGCTGAATTTACAGTAGGCTAGACTTGAGAAAGAAAATAGTTGCTTTTGAGTTAAAATGCTATAAGATTCTCAGAATATCATGGACAAAGAAGAGGAGAAAAACTGACATTTGAAAAGATGTGAACATCAAGGAAGATTGGCTAATAAACAGCATCTTGTTTCGGAAGCTGAAATATTTTGGTCATATCAAGTGCCATGGCGGATTGAAAAAATAATAGCAGAAGGCATGGTACCAGGAAGGAGATGCAGACCATGATGAGAGCAACATTTTGCAAAAGGACCTGATACACGATGATGATCATGAAACCTGAGACTATCATAGATCCTTTACAAACATAGTCACTTAAACAGTTCAGAGAAACAGACATCATTCTTACAAATTCAGGATCCTTGAGCTTAAATTTTCGAGCCATCTGACTGCGGGCAAACTTGCATCCATTATAGTACATGCTCCAAGAGCAGCCAAAAGAAAAAGAGGCCCCACGTCTCAGTAAATCCACACCCTGGCAGGCACATGTTTTCCTGTTGGAAGAAAGATATATGTGAAGAAGCTAAACAAGGATCACTTAGTCATCATCATCTTTAATTTTTGCATTCACCGGCTGCACACTTCAGCAGAAAGTTCTGGTTGTTTATCCACTTCTAGACTTTAGTCTTATTCCAGAACCTGAGTTTTGCATGCACATCTATTTTACAGATCTGGCTTATTTGTAAGCAGAATGTTGGTTCCTTGCCTCTCAGGCAGATTGACTCTGACTTCGAAGGAAACACTCATAATTAGTCAAATTTGATGACGTTTCTTACGGGAGCAGTGGGTTTACTCTGGTTTTCTCTCCCTCTAAAATGGGCCCCAGAAGTGTAGCATGTGATCTGGGGATGATGGATCACACACTTGCCAAGTATCTAGGGGTTATGTTTATAAATCTCAGTACTTCACACATACACAAAAGGTTTCTTCACACCACAAACCATGTCCGCCCACTCTCATTGGTATGGTACATGCCGATGGCTATTATTACTGGAATAAAGAAAAAATGCCACGCCAAACAGGGCTACCACAATACGCCAGGCGCAAGAAACAAGTAACACTGTTTACGAGTACTGTAATAAAATACATCACTCCAAGTCCGATCTTACAGTATGATCAGTCTTGTTATTCTGGACGAACATACTGAGAAGATGATGAACTGATGATCAATGAATCACTGTCTGTCTACCAGCTGCCAAATACAATCACATCTGCAGTCTCTTTAGACATGGACAAAAACACCCTGCGAACTAAGTAAAGGTGCTGCTACGGGTGACCTACCGCACGATCGCAGAGACACACTTATGTAATGTGCAATGACAGTCCTCTGACGGTTCTCTATCCAAGAGACCCCGCAACCCAAGGGCCCAATTGGTGAAAAGAATCCAGACCTCCAGTCTCCTACCCAGCCACTCACTGACTGACCTCCAGTTAACCATGGCAATCCATTTTAACTCTCCGCCAACTAGCATTCCTGGTATCTCCCCGTCACAGCTCCATGCTAGTCAACACACATAAAGTGACCACAGCACCTTCTGTAGCACTTAAAGACACCTCGTCAACCAGCATGCCACATAGGCGCAACTTTGCCAACCACAACACACGGGCTGACGCAAGTCCATTCCAGAAAACCACAGTGACAGAATTTCGAAGTACTACTTATGATCCACCACATTCACTGGACAGATCCTTAGCTCAAACTTAAATATTGTTAAAACTGTTACACAAGTTCACGTGTCCATGTTACTTGAACAATTCGCACACATCCACACACTTAGACTGACTGAAAGCGACTCACTAAAACTGTCATGGGATAATTCCAAGTGCTGTCAATTCTGTGTGGATCTCACTCTCTCGCCACACAACTCAGCTTGTTTGCAGTCACCCATAAATATCAAGCAAACTCTGTTTCACAACTTTATGTGGCTCAAATGTTTACACTTACAACCCTTCAACATAAAATAAATACCAATGTGTACCAATGATTCACCAAGCCCTGGCTACATTTACTCTTTACACACCAAAATGACTTTTGCACACAACAAGAAGTCACATGTGGATCACACAAACAGATCTTTATATTATTCTATGGGCTGAAAGGGCTATCATGGCATATGTCACATAGAAATCTTCATACTATTCTTTGTAACAAATAACCTGTTATTAGATATTTAAGAGAAAGGAAAAAACTGGAGTACATCATGACAATAGACAAGTTAGAGGGAAAGGAAGGCAGAGGAACTACGAGAGAGAAGATGCTGGACAGTTTAGCATCACGACATGGAGGATCATCTGTGTCAGAGTTGACTGAAAGTAGACAAGACAGAAGGTTATGGACAGACATGACTACGGACACAACATTGCATGGACTTTAGTAACCTTTTTAGCACGGGAAGTTTTTCAGATGTCTAGCCAAAAACACGGAGCATTTTTTCAGTAAATTTGGTTATTACTTTATTTAATTTTTTGGACACATTTCTGTTATTCTGACCCCCATGAAATAACATATCTATTTGAAGGATATAGATTGAAGTTAATGATTTTCACAATATCGTTAAAATTAATTGGTGTATATGCAAATTATCTCATTTGCATATCTAAAAATAGAAAATTAGAGTGTGAATTTTCAACTTCAATGCATGAAACATACAACTAAAAACAAAAATATATTTTATTTGAAATTGTTTTATTGATCCTTGGCCTTTTTACAAATGTTGTAAGCAATTCAATAGTCAAAAACAGGTATATATATATATATATATATGAAACAGCAATAATATCTTTAGGTGACATGTGTTTTTGACCATCAGTCAGCACAAGAAATGGATGTGCCGGAGTGCCAACATCTTTAGGTAGATGTACCCAGAGCCATGGTTGGGCTGTGGTCTGAAGACAACAGCGTCCCCATCTGATTCCCCACTATTACTATTAACACTAGATCCTGCATCAGTATCAACAGAATTAGTGTAATCACTTGATTCAAATGTTTTATCAACATCAAGTTTAGGGGCAGAAACATACGAGAGTCAGACATACTTTTAGCGGTTCAGGTCACTATCTAAAAAATTCAACAACAATTTTAACTTTGATACCAAACACTCGAAAGTCGCCATGTGTAAAGCTAATACAGCAGTGAATATAAATGAATCACTTTCAGTGTTTCAAAGTAGGAGATTTCTTAGCGGTTCGTGGCGAAACACGATCGGGCCGATGATGGGCCGTTCCGTGTTTTTGGCTAGACATCCGCCAGCCGATAATCGGCCCGTCCGTGCTAAGAGGGTTAAGAAGAAGTAAAAGTAAAAGAAGTAAAGATCCTTTTTTTACACCTTAGGCGTATTGGGCATATGGGAAGAGCACCCCACATTTCTACAGGTAGGTGATGTGGTCAGCATTACGCCGGCCCTCTTTACTTTCCGACAGCCATCCTAGTACCCATTTTAGGCTGGGTCAACCTGCAACGCCCCATACCATGATAAAAATCCACACAGACATCAGTGGGTTTTGATCGCGGTATGTTGTAATTAGGAGTCGGACTCCCAACGCCTAAGCCACTGACGCCGCTTAAGAAGAAGATCTTTAAGACATATTCATGTATATCTTCACAGCACAAGACAATACTGAAGGTATGCATATGTCAAATCTTACTTCTCGTTTAGCCCACATCTTCTGTCAGTCTCCAGACCATTTTGTGGCAGTGTGCTGATGAGAAAGTCATACAGTGTGTCCGCCTGCTGGCACTCCACTCCCTCCCAAGCCACAATCACCATGATGATGACAGCTGTATCACAGAAATGCCCTGGCCGTTTCCTCACAATGCACAAGTACTTTTCTTCAGGCCCAGATCGACGAATAATCTGGAAACAGTATCCATTCACAACAGTTACTCTCGCAGCAACAAACTTCTAGACACATTTAGAAATGTTCACAGAAACAAACAGGTACTTATTTTTATTCTTCTAATACTTGGTATAGCCACAGGGTGCCCGGATAGACCAATTTTAAAAAGACTGAACTCGGTATATTTGGGATTTTTCCATGTTGTACTGACGTCTATAAAGTGGTGCTTTGTTGCAGTGGAGTCAAAACTGACAGTTCCCACTGTAGGGGAAACAAGAATAGATTCACTGCCTACCTAACGAGCATGTCGTAGGCATTGACTAATTGAGGCCATCCTTTGAAGTCGGAGTGCATCTGCCTGATAGACAAGATACAAACAGTTTGCAAACAAATAAGTCAGATGTGTTTAATGGATTTGCACACAAAACTAAAGTCCAGAAGTCGACGAGGGGCCAGAACTTTCCGCCAGGGTTTACGGCTGGTGAAAGCAAAGAAGACACCTTCGAGCAGGAGCCATGGAGAAGGATAAAACATAAATAAACAACCAAACGCAGGACCAGACATATATGTAATCTTACCCATTTTGCTATTGGACAACCTTCCTTACTCTTTCCTTCCTTGCCAGTATAGATAACCTTTTCGATTCGAATGGCAGAACCACTTATGCCAGTCCTGGGAGACACATACACACAAAAGAAGTTATGTTGTGAAGGGATTTATACCATCTCATCACATATTATGTTCACCTCACATTAATGTTGATAACCTAATTTTAACACATATTTTATTCTCCTCATAATAATGTGGAATGTTATTAATACTTACAGCATTTCTCTACATGTGTATGAGTTTTGTATGCCACTTTATCGTAAAAAATAAACACCTCATGTGCAAAACCTAAACTAAATTTTACAGTTGTAGAAAGCATATTCGGTCATAACTTCTTCTTCCTCTTTTAGCTTCCTCCAGTTACTTCATAGAGTCTTGAAGAGACGTACGGATCTTCTGTCATTTTGCCATTGCATTAGTTGGTCTTTGTTTCTTTAGGGCTTTTCTTGATGCTGTCATTCCATGTTTACATGGTCTTCCCCTTGCTCTGTGTCTATTATTCTTCTTTAGCACGACTCTGTGGCAGTTGGTACCGGGGCATTCTCATCAGATGATCAGATCATCTTATCTGTTGCTCGTTAAAATGTTGAGTCAAAAGGAATGCATCACATGCTAACTGGTTACTACCCAGCAGCTCAATCAGCATGCTGCGCATACAGGTATTTAATTTACCACTGACCAGTACAAAAAAGACACTGGCAGTTGTAAACGGTCTTTCTTCTTCTTTGTGTTCAATAACACAGGTGCTGACCATTAGGTTTATTCAGAAACGTGGTTAAAAGCATAAAATATAGCATGTTTGCAAACTTTACCGAGTTACTAAGTGTTTGTTTGAAAACAATATGGCCTCTGAGTAGATCAGATTTCTTTATGCACGCCAACAGGATTTATGTCTTCAGATGCTTAAAATTTTAATAAAATATGTTTTTATCAGATGTATCCAAAGACAAACAAAGAAAGTAGTGAAGTAAACTTGTTTTAGTCATTTATAGAGTCAAACTTTGATGAGAGATAGTTCTAACATGTGTCTTTTACAAAATGTACAATGATTTTTTTTTTAAGTCAGCTGGCACAAAGATAATAATGCAAATTTTGATTTTCTTCAGTGTCAGGTCTAATGTGATTCCCTTATTGTATGGGAACATAGCTAAAAAATTATGGGCAAATTTAATTTTATATAAAGTTTATTCTGTGTTAAAATATTATTGTTTTGGGAAGTCATTTTTCTTCACCAAATAATTTTACTCTGTTATAGCATACCTAATGTACAGATTGTGTTTATATTTTATTTATACATTACAAAATGAATTTTGTATTTACGAATTGTGTTGAGTTTTCCCTGAGCGCAATGCCATGATGGTAAGTGGTCAAATTATTATTTCATTTTACTAGTTTATGTAAAAATTTTGCTTGTTTATTTATTAATATTTAACTACTAACATAATTATGTGTTGTAGCTGTATTCTTATTTTATTTCTCAACAATCCCTGGCCACTTTAATGTATAATATGTGTATGCTGTGCAGCAGCTGAATTAGTATGGTCTGTTATAATGTGTTACACCTGTGATGTTTAAAAACTGAATAATCACCTCTTGGACCTCTTGGGTGTGAGAGTTAATGAGCCATATGACTGGTTTCTGTCCTAGTCTTCTAATTTCTCTTATTTTTAATTCTTCTTCGCGTTCACCAGCTGTAAACTCTAGCGGAAAGTCCTGGTTGTTCATCTACTTTTGAACTGTAGTCCTGTTCCAGAACTTGAGTGTTGCGTGTGCATCCGTTTTACAGATCTGACTCATCTGTATGCAGACTGCTGGCTCCTTGCCTCTCAGGCAGATGCACTCCGACTTTAAAGGAAGCTCCCAATCAGTCGACTCTTACGATATGCTTTTGGGTAGGCAGTGGGTCTATTCTTTTTTCCCCCTTATAATAGGGCCCTGGAACCCACACAGGAAATTTTCAATTATATCTCTTCTTGTAACTACGGCAGCTCTTCTAAGGCACCTAAGCTCTAGTGTTATGATTCTGCATTCATTAGTTTAGTAATGGTAGCATAAAGATGTCCAAAATAGTTATAATTTCTGTGCGTCAAAACTGGTGTTATTTGTCCCAGTACCTGGTTTGCTTTGGCGCATCATCTACTGACTGCTATTTCCATTCTTCCTTCCTGTCTGAAAACTGACCCTAGGTATTTATATTCACTTTTTTGTTGTTGCTTTTTCTCAGTGTTACCTTGGAAATAATTAGATCTTAAAAACACAAAGCACACACATACTATAAAAAATATGGGGCTAGAACCATGCACCTTATAATGTAGACAAGGGTCCCTTACTTACAATCAGAATAAAGTCAATACAAAGGCATATCTCATCTTAGTCATGCATCAAAATGATGCGCAAGAATTTTATAACAAAGAGTAAGATAACTATATAAAATCTGCAGTCTGGCTTCGGAAAAGCAAGTTGGTACATCAATGCTACTTTTACATTGAGACAGATGAGTGGCAAAACCACAGAGCATAACAATGAACAAAAATGTGGCTCAAAAAAGTAGCCGATAAATGTGATATTGCTACCAACTTTGCATTATAAATGCCAGACATGAAATGGGGTGGGAACAACTAGAAACAAGAGAGAGAAAAACTAGAAGAGACAGAGCCACCCCTGAAGAACTAAGAACAATAGTAGGCACAGTACCTGTCTATGATTTCATAGAAAATAGAAGAAACAAACAGTCTGGTTAACTGGTCAGAATGGAACAAAACCAGAGGACAGCAGGCTACAAGTCAAGAGGTCAACCAAGAAAGAGATGGGAGTGGAGGGAGCAAAATAAACCACAAAAATGCAATATGACATTAAAACAAGCTACGCAACTAGCAAAAAGACAGAAAACTATCCTTAACTCCTCTCTGCTTTGCTTTATGGCATTAGCAGTAGGACGAAAGAACTGAGACTTAAAGTCACACCAGCTGAGGTTAGGGATAGGCTGGTAATATTTAGAGGGTCTCCGTGGTGAAGCCATTATCCTTATGCTCGGAGGGTTGGTTTGTTTCGCTGACACATCGTTCAGTTCAGGGGTGCAGATTTCATGAAGATCCCTGGGGTCATCACGGGAGCTGCAGAGTTCATGCTTTGTGTGATACCCTTGGCAGGCAGCTAGTTGTTCTGTGGAGAGAGACTGGGCCACCACATGGGATAAAAGTGGGTGCAATGGAGTGGATCCCACTTGAATATAAGTTCAGAATTAGGTGTGCTGCTTGCCTGCCAGGGTGTATACCAAAGTCATTACCACCCCACACCTCAAGTCACAGAAGAAATTACATATTAAACCAGTGATCTCTAACCCTGGTGGAAAAAGAGAGAGAGAGAGAGAGAGAGAGAGAGAGAGAGAGAGAGAGAGAGAGAGAGAGAGAGAGAGAGAGAGAGAGAGAGAGAGAGAGAGAGAGAGAGAGAGAGAGAGAGAGAGAGAGAGAGAGAGAGAGAGAGAGAGAGAGAGAAAGAGAGAGAGGGTAGGGGGTGATGAAGTTTCAAGGAAGGCATAAAGTATTTTTACCATTTAGTATATTTGTGCTTGTAATAATAAATTATTGTTGTCAGCTTTAACAATCACCAACAAAACAAACAGCGCTGCCATCTTGATTTGGAGTGATATTTGCTGTTCTTGTCCAAAAGCTGACCAATAATAGCAGATATTATCAAGACAAAACAGTGTCACCCATCACAAATATATCTCTACACTAAATCACCAGTTGTTGATGGTTGTTTCTTTTGTTACTTTACACTGATTTATGTGAATGTTTTTCTACAAGTTCTGGTAAACAGTGCTTGGGATTTTTCTTTTTGTCCTCCTCTTTTTAATCCCATTTTGTAATGTTAAAGTGGGGAGTTCCTTTCCATATACTCAAGGTGGACGCCACCTGAAAAGGGTTGGAGACCACTGCGTCAAATCAATATGGTTCTACAACAAAAATTTAAAATGAACGTACAACCTCTGCTCTAAAACTTTCCTCACTCCTGGAATATCTTTGGCAGCACCCAACTGTGTATAGTAAGGGCCTTCTGTGGCTTCTGATGGAATATCTGCAAACAGATAATAACACATCAACTAAACTTACCACTTTATAATCTATACTAAGACAGTATGCTAGCACAACTGATGACAAGTCAGAAAACTGGAAATAAAACAAATCATAAATGGTACGACAGGAAAGTATAGCAAGCATTTATTTTCTAGTTACAAGGAAGATGGGTTGAGGTGAGGTAAGAACTGACATCACATTACAGCACTTGGGGCATTTCCATAAGCACTTGGGACATTAACAAAAGGCTACATCAGCGAACGGGTCACCCGCTGACTCGCCGGTAGACAACTTTATAACCGGTCAGGAGAGTATTTGGATCTGCCTCCTTTGATTGCATCATTACTGCAGGAGTCCTTTTCAGGGCTCTTGAATCTTGAGTAATTATTCACAGTAATCAGCATCATCATGTGTCATGTGTCCGGTAAAGGTAGACTGTCATGTTTCACCATCTCACATGATCACCAGAACCACAGATCAGGTCAATGTTTTTGTCTCGCCTGATCCATCTGGCTAGCCATCCAGGTATTTGGCTCTTTGCCTTTCTCTTGCTCTCTTTCCATCAATCTTGTTGATTGTTACCAAGTTCTTGAGCACACTCATTCTCAAATTATGTTAAAAAAACATTGACTGCCAATAATATCTAATAACTAATAATAATACAGATGATATCTGAGACAAACTGTTGGTGAGCCTAGACCTGAGATCTTCATCATGATCATGATCATCATGATGTTTCCTGTCAATAAGCGTAAGTGGTCATGCTGCCCTATCTCACATGATTACCAAAATCCCAGATCATCATCATGATGTTTCCTGTCAATAAGGTCATATTGCACTATCCTACATGATTACCAAAATCCCAGATCATCATGATGTTTCCTGCCAACAAGCTTAAGTGGTCATGTTGCACTATCTCACGTGATTACCAAAATCCCAGATCAGGTCTTGTGTCTTTCATTTGGTCAAGCCACCGAGGTATGTGTCTCTTTGCCCTTGCTTTGCTCTGTTTCTATCATCAATATCGTGAGTCTACCTTTATCATAACATGCCACAAAAAAACAATACCATCAGTATTGGAACTCTGCGCTGGCTGTTGAAGATGAGGACGGAGCACACATGGGAATGCCCTGAGTGCTGTGATGTCAATTCCTAACTAAGCTCAACTCAAAAAAAAAAAAAACAGTCTACATCTAATTTCTCTCATCAGTTTATGGTTCCATCTGTTTCAACTGGCTCATTTGTTTTCCTATGATTCCATGATATTCTTTGCACTCATCTCAAAAACCACACCTCCGCTGCAAGTAGGTGTTTCTTCAGTAGGTGTGACATGAGGTCACCTTTACAAGTAGCCTACAGTCAGAATGTCCCAGCCAAGCCACAATTCTGAGACTCCTTGCCTGCATCTCATGATGACATCAACCACAAAGATGTATTTCAATCTTTCAACATGTCTGCGGCCCAGTAAATCAGATTTCGACAAGCACTTGCTATGGTCTGCTGTACCTAACCTTTGACTGTATCTGGTCTACTAAAAGGCAGCAGGATTGTGTCTCTTTGTCTGGTTCCTCTCCCTTGACCTGTTTGACATGAGAGACACTACAAGAAGCTAAGCTACCAGCAGCTTCACTCTTGTGGTAAATGGAACACACAAGACCATCAACCACTTGACTGGAGACAAATCAGAATGCATCTGCAGATATCAAGCTCAACTACTAGTATTGTAAAATCAACTCTCTCCTGTGTGTGGGGAAAAGACAAGAAACTGAAATTCAGACCTTATGAAAATTATACTCTGGTATCAAGTCAGGAAAACAATCTCTACACATTAGAATAACCCTGGATCCATACAAACACAGACAGCTATAGCCCATAAGATGCTTCCAGTAATGCTGGAGCCATATATGGACACAATGACACAAAAACCCAAAGGTTTCTTCTATCAACCCTACACCCATGTCTAAGCACACTGACAGAATAATAAATGGCTTGTGGTAATTCTGGAGACACATATAGATTATCATTGAGATAACAGCTTATATAACTCTAGCCTTGCTTCTTTTTTTTTTCTTTTTTCATTCGCTAATAAATGAATGGTGGGCATGTGTTTTGTGGTTTACAGCTAGGCTGCGACATCTGTACTTTTTTGCCAAACACATCCAGTTTCATCATCTTCTTAATAAGTCGCCTTTTATATCATGTTCTCACCATAAGGATTCTGGGGCCGCACTGTGAGGAAAATATGAACAGACCCACTGCATCCCCAACAAGCATGTTGTAAGAGTTAAATAATTGGGGACTTCTTTCAGAGTCGGACTGCATCAGCCTGAGAAGCAAGGAACCAACATTCTGCACACAAATATGTTAGACCTGCAAAACTAATGTGCATGCAACACACAGGTTCTGGAACAAGACTACAGGGTATACGAACAACCAGAACTTTCTGCCTGAGTTTACAGCCCATGCATGTAAAGAAGAAGAAGACAATGTGGATGTTAAGGAACAGTGGGTTCACAAAATCGAGCCCTGGAACCCACAGTAGGGTCTATCGTGCAGAAACCATGCACATAAATCTGTCACTGAGAAGATATGCACTGTTCAATGAGTTATTTAAGGACTTTAGTAGGAAAACTACTCACGCTCAGGGCCCAGGCATCTGCAGTCTGCTACCTCCATGAGATTATTAGCAAGTCGGTCAACAAGGTTCTGATTGACACTGAGATCACCTGGTTTCACTTCCATCCCATTAATCTTGTACAAGAAATTGTTAGGGGTCTGAGCTGCCTCTTTCTTTTCGTACTGCTTGAGCTTAGGCATCTTAGATGTAACTGGCAAAGAAAGACTGGAGCACTCTGTTTTTGGAGGACGGCCCCTTTTCTTTTTGACAGTGCCAACTGATACTTTCATTCTCTTTATCAGTGTATCTGACATGTGACTATTTGATCCAAGCATATCATCAGGAAATGGTTTTGTATACTCCTGGATATAATCCATTTTTGTGACTTGGGTATTGACAGTAGCTTTGGAACTTGATGATGGTTTTTGTGAAGCATGATGGAAAGTACTGTTCTTACGCATCTTCAGCTTTTGCTGGGTTGGTAATGAGGATGCAGTGCTGCTGGCTAAATCAGGCTTTTCTTGGCTGTCTACTTGCTGCTTGATGTTGAAAACAGGCTGATGAATCTGTGACAATGAATCTTCACAGTTATAGAACACATTTGATGGTTCATTTTTAATCATCTTTGTGCCAAGGTGAAACTGATTTCCTTTAGTGTGATTCTTGTTTTCATTCTCTGTCTGATGATTGGCACTTGGCAATGGATCTGTAGTCTGCATATTTTCTGCTGGTAATGTATGTCTTGAATTTGGAGCATGGTAAGATACAGGATGCTTTGGCTGACCTGGTGACCTATGAAATAGTTTTTTCTGAATTTCAAAAGGCACATCAGAAAACATGGTGTCAGACTGTTTGCTGCCTACTATGACAGGCATACGTGAAATACTGTTCACATAATGTGGTTCAATCTGATCTGTATACGGCAAATTCACAACAGATCTCACACTCTTTAACAGAGAAGGATCAAGGTCAGCCTGTTCTGAGTCTTCAAAAGCATAAGGATCGCTCTTACAGGGTTCTTTGCCAAGTGTTGTTGGTCTATCCATGAGGTTACACTTTGATGGTAGAGACTGATTTAAAGATGTGACACCTTCTTTGCTTCTTTCATGTCTATTTTCCTCCAATTTATGTTTATTATCCATATCCAATGCACTACTATTAACCTTTGCTGGCGCACCAGTTTTATGGTATTCTGCAACATGTTCATCTGACTGGCTCTGCAATGATTCATTTCTGCTGTAGATATTCCCAAGAGTACCAAAAGAGTTCTCCCATTCAAATTTGTGATCTGGGGGTTCTGAATCAAAACTGTCAGCATAGCCTTCCGACCACATCATTTCTTGGTCAGCTGGCTTGTTATTATGGAATGGATACATCAGTGGCATGGTATCTGCTTTATTATGCAATGACCCTTCAGTGTGAAATGGCATAATGAGTTGTTCCATTTGTCCAGGTAACTGATTACTGGAATCTTTGGAATCATTACCTGTACTGCCAACTTCCCTAGATTTTCTTTTCCTTTTCCGCTTTTTTGGTTCATCTGAGATTTGAGACGTGATGAACATTTTTTCTCTTTCCCTAGCAATAATTTCCAAAATTCTGTTGGTCTGCTCTTCTTTTGACAAAGTCATATCAGGCACAGAAAACTGCTTGGGACCAGCACTGTTGGGGGGTGTCGGAAGAGTAGAAGAAACATTGTCATCATGAACAGGCGTTAGTCGGTGGGATGGATCACTTGAAGCCACATTCCGGGACAAGCTGTCAAGAAATCCTGGAGACAAACAAGATCCTGGGGACTGCAGTCTCCCTTCATCATCTTCCATAGGAGGAGTTGGATACTGAAACTTAGATCCTTTAGAGAACCCAGGAGGTGAAACATATGGCTTTGGGGATACTGTCTGTGTAGGCAGAGGGTTAAGGTTGTTTCCTACATATCCTGAAAATTTGTGGTAATAAAAGTTTTCAGGTGACAGTAAGTCAGACCTTGTCTGTAAGTGTGTTATTGGAGGAGAGGTTGCCTGCCTGACAAATGATGCTGGAAGTATAGATGGCTGTAACTTGCTCTGAGCATAAGTAATAAACATATTGTCAGTGGATGACGATACAGAAGACTGTAATGGCTGCCCTGAGAAATGATAGTTGCTGCTGTGGCTCAACCCTGGTATGGGCTGATTGGAAATGCCCTGTGTAGTTTCCACTGCTGAGCTTGCTTTCACTAACAAATTCTCAATAGAATGTTCTTCAGCTCTTTTGGAGGATAGACTAGAAATGAATCCTGGTGACAGCTGAAATGGTGATGAACTTCTATCCTCTTCGATGTTTACTTTTAGTGATTCATTACATTGATTTTTGCTGGATTTTGGTTGTGGCTTAATATCAGAGGTATACATGGCATAATGTGGCTGAAATTGAAGTTCATAATCCTGCTTGTTATTATTTCTTTGAGCTGCAGCATGAGCCAGTGTGGATGGAGTGGCACAGAAAGATGCATAAGATGTCTGGGAATTAAATGTCTGTGAAAATTCACTAGCTAGTGATGATGGTACAGTTCTCTGATAAGAATCCAAGCTATGAGGTTCAACATTAGTCCTGGAAACTGGAACTGTGCCCGGATAGGAACCCACCATCTGGGGCATGCAATTAATGTTGGATGTGGTTGGGTTATAACTCAATGTATAGGGTACACCATTAGTGGTGGACACTGGAGCTGTGGTTACACAAGAGCCCAAAGATTGGGAAAAATCCTTCCTTCTGAATAACTGTCCAGTGTTTTGAAGAGAACTAGGTTTCTGTAGACAGTTTTCCCTCTGGGATAAGGTTTCTATATTATGAGCAGCAGCAGTATAAACAGGGATATTTTCTGCCACCTGATATCCTATACTTCCTGTATTCTCAATTGAATGACTTCTCTGAAATATGTCCTCGTGATGACTAACATAGTGATCATTTTGCATAGCTGGAAGATGGGAATCTGCAGCTCTTTTGGAAGAGAGGCTAGCTATAAAAGTTGGGGATAAACAGAATGGTGCTGAATCATTATCATCATCAGTTACTGAAGCCTCAGGTTTGGGATTCAACCCTGCTTTTTTAGATGCCCTTGCTTTTCTCTTTTTTGTAACAGTTTTCACTTCAGTGTCAAGAATGTTGATTGCCTGTTTCTTCTTCCTTCTACCTTTGGTGTTTCCCTTCAGAACTGATACATTCTTATTTGTTACAACATCAGTTTCCTGAGATGTATTCAATGCTGAACTATAAGCTTTGTTTCGAGGACCTCCCTGGTTACTTTGAGGCTGCATATGAAACATCTCATTCTTTGATTCATAACCGCCATCACTTCTAATGAATTCTGCATATGGACAGTCACTGTTGTTTATCATGCTGCCTGATTTTGTTAAGTGGCTGTTTCCTGGGTACGGGCTGCTAGACATTTGGTAGTTGGATGAACTACAGCCTGACAATGATGATGTGGACTGGGGGAAATTGTAGTTGCTTTCAGGGACACACTGGTTTTTACTAAATGTGGTTACTCTGCTTGAACTGCTGGGTGGATCTGAAGTCAGATAAGTGCTCTGTGTGTTCTCCCAAGTTCCAGAAGCCATAGACATTAAGGATGAAAGACCACTGTACGATGTTAGCTGATGTGATGATTCCACTAGCTCTGAATTAAATGGAGTTGGCCATGGTATGATGTCATTATCATTGACTGTCTGTGACATAGTATTGAAATCTGAGAGGGAGTTTTGTTCAGTCTCTGACAAAAATGACTCGATCTGGCTTAGAGGAATCAGTGGTGGGTTATTATTTGAAAAGAGACCTACATTTGAAAAGCTCTTGGATCCTCCGAGATACTGGGAGCTTCCAAAGATGTGTTCATGACCTGTAGAAAAAGGGAGGCTCAGTGAAATGTCTGGAATGGGAGGCTGCTGTAAACTGTTGAGCAACTGAGACTGATCTGTCACATGGAAATGTGGACTTTGTTTTGAACTATGATGAAATTCAGCAGGCTGGAAATTGCCAGCATGAGATGACTGAGAGTAACTTTGTGAACCTCCTGCTAAAGTATGCAGCGAAAAGTCGGCAGCGGATGAATGTGGATGAAAATGTTGTGAACTGTTGTCCTGTAGATATATGCTAGGCACATGTAGCTGCTTCTGCTGCTGGTATGTCTCATGCCCGCTACCTCTATGAGAGGAATCATACCCACTGGCAGCAAACGGTAAATGTTGTCTCAGGGAGCTGAAAGGTGGCAGGGGTGGCTTTGCCGAGTTAACCTCACTATACTGGCCCTCCTGTACAGGGGGGGAGAGAGAGGGAAAAACAGTGAATTAATTGTTATCAAATGACTACACCCAAGTCAACATGGCGGCATTATATGCATTGGCTCAAAATCAAATTACCATAATCATGAATACTAAAAAATGTAACTATAAGCCAGCACCCCCCCCCCCCCCCCCCTCTCTTCCCCCCGCAAAAGTTTTATGGGGGACTGAGGCCCGGCCACCTTCAAAAGAAAATTTTAGAGAGGTAAAGACCCCCCCCCCCCCACCTTCAACCTCAAACCAAGCATAGGTGTTCTGTTTTTAAGTATTGATTAGACATTTCTCATTATTTCAAATATTATATTTATTTGCCATTTAGCGCATACTAAAATTGATAATATTACTGCACACTCAACAAGGGTTAAGGGAGGCCCCTTGACCACATTTTAAAAGGGGCTGAGATGACCGCCTGCCCCCCCCCCCCCTTTTTTTTCTTTTCCCCCCACTATGATTTCTCTATGGCATTTTTTGTGTGAGACAGAAGCATATAAAAAAAAAACCATCTGGAAACAGTGAGTTAACAACTGGACAGATGACAAACGGTTAAGATCAGTACAGTGGAACCTTGCTTAACGAGCATAATTCGCTCCAGAATCAAACTCGTAAAGCGAAACACTTGTAATGCGAAACAATTTTTCTCACATAAATTAATGTAAAATACAAGAACCCTCCTGGAATGCAAAATCGATTTGCAGAAAACAAACAAAAATCTAAATAATTATGATAATAATTATGCTTCTCAATGTAAGATGCAACAGTTCCCATGTTTTCAGACTTTTTTTTTTTTTTCGCCAGAAATTTGTTTATTTTCTGTTACATCCTCCTCTAACAAACTTTCCTCCAATACTTCTTGCTGTGACACACAAGATCTTCTATATCATTGTTATCCACCTCCAATTCCTGATAGTGGCCAAAGACACAATCTCGTTGACTACTTGTTCCACATGTACTGTCTCGAACCCCTCAAAGTCACATTCAACAACGCTCTCTGGCCAAAGCTTCTTCAAAGCAGAAGTTAGGGTTCGCTTGGTAACCCCTTCCCATGTCTTGTCAATCATCTTGAGGCAGGCAACAATGTGGAAGTGATTTTTCCAAAACTCTCTGAAAGTAAGGTTGGTCCCCTCAGTCACCTGAAAACAATGCTCAAAGAGATCTTTAGTGTAGAGCTTCTTAAAGTTAGAAATAACTTGCTGGTCAATGGGTTGGAGTAACGGAGTGGTGTTGGGAGGCAGAAATTGGATCTTGGTGAACCTAAATTCTTTAGGGAGGGCCTATTGTAGGCCTGGAGGATTCACGTACATATTACACAATATAACACAAGTTTGAGAAAATGTGTGATCACAAGCGACACCACGATGCTACTGGAACGAGTGCTTAACACAGACTGATGTAACATGCGCACAAATTACAAATCTATTTCCTAATTATCTTCCTAATAATTAATTCAGTATACCCCTATCCTCGCCACTCGTTATGCGAAACGTCGCTCGTTAAGCAAGTCATTCTTTTACAATTTGTTTTGCTTGTTATGCAAATTACTCGTTATGAGAGGTGCTCGTTAAGCGAGGTTCTACAGTATATTACTTTTAAAATGCAAGTTAAAACCCCTTTTAACGCCACTGGTGCATGAGGAATATGGTGTAGGCCCATGTTTTCATAGACAAATCAGCACTTGGTAGGTGATGTAGTCAATATCACACCTGGTGTATGATTTATGTTAAGTCAAACAAATGCATGACGAGTTGCTTGGTATTGAATGAGTTACTCCATCGACTTACCAACTGTATAGCCTGCAATTTCAATCCTTTTTATGGCAGAAGTGGATTTGGCTCTCTACAAGTAAAGCTCTGCAACTGACAAAGGCTTCTAAGATGGATACCAAAATCCTTGTATTTGGATCCGGGGCCCCACTGTGAGGAAAAGAACAGACACGCTGCCTCTCCTACAAGCTTGTTGCAAGGGTCGACTAACTAGGGGCTTCATTTAGAGTCAGAGTGCATCTGCAAGAAACCAACAATCTGCATACAAACAAGTCAGATCTGTAAAATGGATGTACATGCAACACTCAGGTTCTGGAACAAGACCAAAGTCCACAGGCGGACGAACAACCAGAACTTTCCACCAGCGCTTAAAAGTGAAGAAGAAGAAGTCGAAGAAGTACAATACTAAATGTTAACCCTGAAGGGGAAATGTTACAAGAAAGGAAGCTGGTCATGCCTCACCTCATGACTGGTTTACCATGTAAATCCTTCGACTGATCAGTTTGTCCCCTCTGGGCTGCCACCTAAATGTTTACCACCCTTTGATCTACACATAAAAAGTATCAATCTGAACGGCAGACAACAAGACAACAAGACAGATCCTAGATACACAAGTTCAACATCTACAGATGTTATCATTAGGGCACTATTACTTTTAAATTGCTACGACAATATTGGCTGCAGGATGCACTACAACTAAAAAAAAGGGGGGGGGGGGGTGGGAATAACCCTTTGGGTCTAATGGAAATTTGGATAGGTCTTAAGGAAATGTTGATAGGTCTTATGGAAATGTGGAAACCGCGAGAAAGGACAGAAACAGAGATGAAGGAATGTAAAATGAGTGTAAACTAACAGGCGATACCACAGATAAAAAGGCATCATGAATGCCGTATGTGTCAACAGCGACGGCAAATATATATATATATGTGTGTGTGTGTGGTGTATAAATGTATAATGTATGTATGTACGTATGCATCTATGTATGTACGTATATGTCGCTGTGGATGTATAAGGCGTTTACAGGTGATCGCTGGTCTCAGATCTATGAGATTTTAAACTTTTAGACAAATAAAAAGACAAAAAGCGCGTGTGTGTGCATGTACATGTTTTTATCTGCATTGTGCGTGTGTGATTGATTACTGTCTGAATAATTAGTGCCGATTACGATAAATCTTACAGAGAAAAAAATTGCTCTATTGATCTGTAATGAACCCAATGGCAAAAAAATGATACAACCAAACGACGAAGCTTATTAAAAAGGTCATCTAAGGCCAGGTATGCTTCATACAAACTACCACAAAACGTCAGACACGCCGGGTTTTATGACGTCACTAAGCGTTTGAATGTACTGTACCTCAGATGCACCAAAATACACGACACACTGTTAGTCGCACAAATGGCTCAACACTTACACAACAACATCTAATGGTCAGACGCCCATCTAACAAATGTCGTCTAAGGGTGGCCACGGGCGACTCAAGTTGTGGAGTAGTCGGCGATGGCTATGACTGGAATATCACGTACACAAAGGATGACCTTGATCGCAGAGGTTGGGTTTCCTGACTGATAACGGGTCATTATCTAGTGTTTATATTTTTCTTCAACTTGACGCCCTAAACGGTGTAACTCTGACAAATGTTGTAAGCTGTGTGTGAAATCTGGAGAGTAATCGCAGCTGGTGTAAGTTTACACACACACACACACACACACACAACAGAAAAAAAAACGTAGCCTGTCTACTAGTGGAAGCCGCGTCTAACATTCAGAGGCCGGCTATAGAAAAATAATCCTACTGTATGTTACCGGTTGGGCATTCTCACAACAAATTAATTATATAACTGCCATCCAGCGCCACAGCTTTATGGTCATTACCACACAAATAAAGCCAAAACCATGTATAAAACTCCAGAAACCAGGAAATGCCGGTAAACTAAAATCATGACCCTCAGCGGTAGTTACAAGCAACACGGCTGTTTAATAAATATCCCTACCAAGTTGACTGTCCTGAAACTGGTGGCAGAAAACTCTTTTCGCGTCTATTTCTTTTTTTCCATAAACAAACAAATAATCCACACTGGTCCCAGGGAAGCACACAAACTTTCTGCTTTCATCATCCGCGGTGGCTGAGCGGCGCGAAGGGGGAACTAGATATGACGGGGGTTCTATTTTCAAAAGCCGAGCAGACACAACAAAACCTCTTGTAGGGGGAAAAATCTGCGCCCTGCCAGTAGCGGGATGGCGTGGCGAGGTCAGACAAGGCCTAACATAACGCCATTCCAGGGGCGCAACCTGAAAGCAGTCTATGAGATTGCGTTGATATTCACAGCTACTGTTTAGGTTAGCAGTCAGACAGAACATAAAAAATAATTGCTAGTCGCATTCGTGTAAGCCATTTTACTTAGAAACATACAGGACCAGAAACATTAACGACACCTCAGCGGCGCTTGAAATAAACAGTCGTAAAGAGGAACCAAGGTCACTAACAGCTCATTTGCTTTCAGGAAAAGGTAAATGGTGCGGAAAATACATGTTCTCGAAATAAAGGCAACCGCGTAATACAAAATATCCGTGCAAGTTTAATCGCAACGTACTTGCATACGAGAAGGGGGTAATTTAACTAATCATACAAAAGAAGAAAGTGATTTAAAACGTTACGCTCCTAGTTTTATTGCGGCGGTACCCCAGTCATCCTGAGAAGGCTCCACATTGCGATCCGCCCCTGAAGGCAGTGGGGAAACTACCCCCGGTGCGGTGTGCATATTTGCACAAAGCACTCGGGAAACTAGGACTCTGACCCAGACAGTCATACTTCAGAGCGCTCTCAAGTAGGTCACTGGTGCGAGATGCGAGCCGTTCTATTTTTACCGGACTATGACGCCGCAAAGAACGGGGTCCCAGTCTTGGCCCTAAGGTTAACTCCAAGGGCAAGAATGGGGAAATGTGGCAACGCAGTGGCGTTAGGTGACTGCCGGACGGATAGATGGTTTCAGGTTCCAATCAGCACCGCGTGGATTGTTTTAACTAAACTTGGCCCCCCAAGTCAATCTAGCGTCAACTAAACGGAAATTTTATGGAATGTAAAGACGGCCAGATTTATTGTGAACACGTGCCAAGCAGACTGATCCACTAAAAAAATAGCTAGCATCATATCTTATGTGCTAACAGGGTACAAACGCTCCTTTACTATCAAGGGTAAGAACAAAACCAAAC